TAGATAGATAGATAGATAGATAGATAGATAGATAGATAGATAGATAGATAGATAGATAAAGCATCAGACACCAAGTTGGCCAAGCCTGAGGCATGAGATGTAGAAGGAAGATGGTGTCAAGAAGACCTTGAATGGGACACAGTCTATAACTCTGTTCTCCTTTTCTTCCTCCACCTCACTTGCATTTTAACTGGTTGCTCTGTAGCAGTTCAAACACTAGTTTGTGGCCAGGAAGGAAATCTTGGCCAGAAAGACTTTTTTTTTTTTAATTCTTAGTGACATCTATCAAATTCCATATAGGGCACAAAAGTACTGTGTGCTGTCTTAGCTAATCCTGACAGCAATTTTAAAAGGTAAGCAGTACAAGAGAGCTGACAAAGGCCAACTCCAAGTTCAACCCCCACACACAGTGCCGACTTTGAAGTTTAGATTTTATGAAACCTGAGTTTATGGACAGGAAGGTGCCTTCTGATGAAAATCATGATGGAAAATGTATAGGCGGAGTACTTCTTAAAGTCCAAAGCTTTCAAAACTATTGTGCTGATGTTTTCTTTCTTTTACTTTCCCAGTAACAAGGAGCAAATGACAGATGAGCGCCTGACTATGCTGGGAAGGTGAAGCCCAGAGCAGGAAGGCCTCTGCTTTCCCATCGCTTCTCTCCCTCTTTCACCAGGCCGCAAGGGTCTGACCTTTTCATCAAACTTTAAGATGGTCCAAATAACTGGCCGGTGCTCCAGTGTTATTTGCCTTCCTCTGGTAGTTCTCTGTTCATGTTGTCCAGGGCTCCGGCAACACTGGGCATCCAATATATCATTGACTTAAAAGTTTGAGATTCGGATGGGAGAACGTAAGACAGAAAGAGGGATGGGTGCAGAGGTAGCGGGTGATGACTGCCAATGGACTTAGACTGAGGGTGGGTCAGGCACAGAGTGAAGACTGGAAGTGAAGAAGCCAATAGGAAGTACAATAGCTGACAAAGCAAATAGAAAGTAAAAGCTCAACATGAACAAAACCCAAGTCAGTACTGGGGACAGATCCACTCTCAGCAGGCACACCTGTAACAGGTGGGGGCTCCCTGAGCCTTTGAAGTTCGTGTTCGGTAAATCTGACTGCCCTCCACACCACCTTCATCCTAAGGAAGGTAGAGTCGTCTCGAGGCATTTGCCAGTTACATATCAATCATTCTGAGGGCAGAGAAGCTACAGTGGTCCCCTAATCCCAAAGGACATTCCATGTACACGGAGGGAATTAAGCGCTATATTGTATGTTTGTTATATTTAGCATAAGAGAGTCTTTGAAATAAAATGGAATGGAGAAACTCCTGTGAAGAAGCGTAATCCCTAGGCCCCTCACTTCTCCGGGCTCCTTGCAAGTCTTTGGAAGAGGGTCCTAGCAACCTGTACTCATTCCTTATCTTCCCTCAGTAACCTTTGTAAGCATAAGGTATTTTTGTAATGTTTTCTCAAAGACGGCCTCTCAATTGCACAAGCCTTGGGTTCTGAAAACTCTGGATGTGTCATGGAGCTTGTACACAACAAACTGTCATGTTCTAAGTCGCCTTTCTCCCATGCGCTGGTGGCGTGCCTGCATGCTGCTGAGGTGTGTGTGTGTGTGTGTGTGTGTGTGTGTGTGTGTGCGCGTTTGCTACTTTTTAGTTTACAGAATGGGAATCAAGCAAGAAGCCACAGCAACTACTATATCTCCATTATTTTTTCTTCAAAATAATCATGGTATTGGGTTCTATATTATACTGTTTACATCGTATTAGAGAAACAATAGAACACTGTCTTACATGCCTTACAAGATTTTTTCCACCTAGGTAAGGGTTGTTTCTTATGCACTAATGATTTTTGAAGGTACTGAAAATATTCCATCTAGTTTGAAAACATATTTGCTCTGGTGAAATAATTGAATTCTAGCCTTCTGTATCATGTTGTAGTCCTTTTTCAAGTAGAAACTTCAGACACACACACACATCTTGAGACAAACTTCATTCTATGATCACGAGCCACAGATTTAACAAGTCTGTGTGTAATTATTTTATCAATCACTCAGGATACCTAGTACTAGAAGTTGGCCTCTTCTATGACAGATTGCCCTTAGATCATTGGTTTGAACAGTATAACTTTTTATGAACTATAAAAGATGACATCTTTATACAAGGTAACAATGCAAAACCCAAACTTGTTTATAAACTGGTGGATAGACAGATTTCAAATCAGTACATTCTACCACTTTGAAACCATTCCTCGTGAGATGCTTTTTCTTTTGTATTTTTCTTACATTATTTTTAAAGTAATTTCCGTCTTAAAACAGAAACTGTTGGCTAGTAATACATATTTTAAGATGTCTTATTTTTTAAATCCATATCATATAGCTTTATTTCCTTTAATTCACTGACTTGGATTATTCTACTTCTTTTGAAAGCCAACAGAATTCCATACATGCTTTACCATTTCATTCATAATTCTTTGGCAATCAAATCCCCCTCCCCCTTTTTTTTCTTTTTTAAGTCTGATTCTTCTTGGTATTTCATTGCTAAGCAACTAGAAGGAAATTTCAGGACTGGGTTTTTGTGTTTTTTTTTTTTTTAATCCTATTTTACAATTCAAATGAATTCTGTGCGTCCATCAGCAGCAGGTAACAATAGCTCACATTTGTTTTCCAGGAATGAGAACCTGAAGCTAGAGACACACTTCTCTGGGGAATGTGGGCTGAAATGAAAAGGAATCCCGTTTCTGTATAAGACAGCCAAAAATTAAAATTTTGTTTTCATTTCCACTTAGTTGTCCCCCCCACCCCCCAGATATTCCAGTCTTATTCCAACTTTTAAAAATTGTGTAGTTAGGGACTCTTTCAATATCCACATACATAGTAAGGGTTGGGGGAGAGGGAGAGAGAGAGAGCGAAGGGGAGACTGAGATTCAAGTTTAGGAAGCGGAAACATAAACTTACCTTTAACAGAAGCAGAATATGAGGAGAAGAAGCAGAGGAAAAGAACAGCGAGCAGGATCATGCTGCCTGGCTACCCTCTGCCACATCCAGTTCCCAGGAGTCACTGAGAAGTGGACTCTTCTGGTGGCAGCCAGCAAGGAAGTGACCCTCCTCAGAAGCTGCGACAACAGTGTTTATCTATAGGGGAAAGGTCAGATTCCAAACTCCAAAATCAGGACCTAAGTTCATGGAAGGGCTCACTATTAATGATTAAACGTAGGTGGGCTATAGTTTTTAGTCTCTCACTTCTAAGACATTTGTTTCATTTATGAAGGAAAATCAAGTTTTCATCTTGGAATCCAAACTAAATCAGTCCACAGTGTTACAAATGCAGAAGGCACTGGGTAGGGGTGGGTGGAGGGTGGGGGAGGGTACAGGACAAAAAAAAAATCACTGGTTGTAATACTTTTCTGCTCAAGTTCATAATTATTATCATAGCTGGAATAGTTCCCTAATTTATATTTTAAAAAGTGGTGAGGTCCAATTAGTACCAAACACATTGAAACTGACTGAGCCCGAATACATCTTCTATGGTTAGTTTTGAATTTCTATACTAGTCATAAACCGATATAAAGATAACTCTTAATTCTAAAATTTGAATTAAGTCATACCAACACTGATAAAGATAGTACTGGGGTTAGGCCTTTCAGCCCTAATATGTAGATGATTTTCCTCATATGTGAGAAACTGCAGGGGTTGGAGAAAATCAGCACCACCATCATTAATGTGCTAGTAGGCCAACTGAGGCCACTGGTAGCCCCGTTGCATTTCTAAGAAGAGATTCAGAGGATGAGTTCCAGTTCTCACCATTTTTGCAGCCAAATATTATTTAGGAGAGCTCTTTAATGCCCTTGTGTAGCTCAGGCTCAGGCCTCAGCAGTTGACCCAGACAACACTTGTCACAGGAAACTCCCACCAGAGTCCTCATAGAAACATAAACATTTCCACAACAAAGTGTCACAGTGGTAGGGGAAGGTAGGGGAGCAGGGGGCCGGGGGGGGGGGGGGGGGGGGGGGGGGGGGGGTGGAAGAGAAAGAAGAAGGAGGAGGAGAAGAAGAAGAAAGTCTGGCAGCAAGGGTTATTGGAATGTCTATGAAAATACGCATGGCCATGTTTTATGTATAAAATGGGTTCTTAATTTTATCCCGACTTCTCTGAAAACCCAGCACTCCTCAAACTTCGAGTTTAAATCTTTTAAAGAACCTAGTTAAAGATAGCAAGCAATAAGTCTGGCAAAACGAAATTCAAAATTAAAAAATCTCCAAACAAGCATTTTCTTTGACATGTTTTTTTTAAGATTTATTTATTTATTATTTATACAGTATTCTGCCTGCATATGTGCATGCACACCAAAAGAGGACATCAGATCTCACTACAGATGATTATGAGCTAACACGTAGGTGCTGAGAATTGAACTCAGGACCTTTGGAAGAAGAGCCAGTGCTCTTAGCCTCTGAGCCATTATCTCTCCAGCCCTTGACATGTATTTTTATATGCAGAATTGAAAGGTGAAAATTATTTTAAATCTCCTCTTGAAAGTAGAATTTCATTTGTTATCACTGCTTCCTGGGGCCAGGCTCAAAAGAAATAAAAAATAAAAAATAAAAAAGCTCTACTGGAAAAGAATTTGTGGATACTAAATATCCACATAGAACGTACTGTGAAAGTGCTTGTCACTTCCTTTTTATTTAGCTGCTGTTGCTGCTACTATAATTTGTTTTTGAGATGACACTTCGCTATGCAGGCTTGGCTGACCTGGAACTCGTAGCTTTCCACTCACAGTGATCCTCCTTTCTCTACCTCCCAAGTCCTGGGATTAAACACATGTGCCACAATGTCTACCTTTGCTTTAATTTTAATAGATTGCCAAATGTGTTCACAATATTAGACAGGTAGACCAAGAAAGCCCTTATCGTCTCTTAAGCTTACACTCATATGTATTTCAATCAAGAACTTTTTTGGCTCTCACTCAAGCACGTAATAAATATCTTACATTTTCATCTCAGAGTCACAGTTGCTTAGACTGTGTGGTGTGGGATACGTGTCTCTTTGGGTAAAGTTCTAGTAGTTGTCAGTTGTTTGTATCAGAGTCCAACCAATAAAAGCCATATCACTATTACCTAATCAAGTGAGTGCTGTTTCAATTGAGCATTTGATTTCCACTAGAAAGCACTATATTCAATAGTCGTTTCATCACAAGACACACAGATAGGCTGCTTCTGCTGGTCACGATATCATCCTTTTATATCTGGCTTATATAGCTCTTTTTTAAAAGACTTCTCATGATTGTCTCACTGAGATGAAATAAGAATGCCAAACACTTCCATATTCAAAGAACTCTGTGTGGCACAAAGCATTGGCCTCTAACACAGAGAACAGTGTAATATATGAGATGTCTCCTAAACTCACCAGCTAATTTGCAGGGTACAGGAAGCAGAAAAGAATGATAGTAGAGCATAAAATAACAAAAGCTGGTTCAGTACTGCTTGTGGCCATTAGTTTCCTCCTGGTTCAGGTTAATTGATTAAAACTACTTTAAGGAACAAAGAAAAATGAAACTTAAAACGAGAGATGTAGTATCTTTGTTTTAAAAATATGAAAGTTGGGATTAAGAAGAAACTAAATTTTTGAACACGGGGTGAAATTATTATTAATTTGGTCTGCCCTTTCATAGGACTATGACATTTTAATGTGGAAGTTAACAGAACACTTGTTTTTGCGATGGGTACTCCAGACTGACAATACAGGGGTACACTGCTCTGTACTAGTCAGCCAAAAGTAGATAAAACAACATTGTTGCCACAAACCCTTTAGTGGTACCTAACCCTGCATACTACCAAGATGCCTTGACAAATGAGGAAACTGAAATTAACCATGGATGACTGATTCCAAAGTACAGGTGTGTTCTGTTGAGTGTTATAGGTTGTTAGGAGTTAACTTATTTCTGTAGATTAGAAGATAAATGAACTTTAGCCCACTTAAGGTTGAAAGGAAATGAGTTACCCTGTTAGATACAGATATGGCAAGTCGGGATGCTATGATTAGCCTTAAGAAGAAAAGCCTATGGGTGTCATCAGAACATTTGCTCAGTTCTTAGAATGTGGCACTGTAGGAGGGAGGGAGGGAGGGAGGGAGGGAGGGAGGGAAGGATGGACGGATGGACAGAAGGAAAAAAGGAAGGAAGGGAGGAGGGAGGGAGGATGGAGGGAGGGAAGGAAAAAAGGAAAGAAGGAGGAAGGGAGAGAGGAAGGAAGGAAGGAAGGAAGGAAGGAAGGAAGGAAGGAAGGAAAGAAGGAAGGAAGATTTCAGACAATCTTTAAGTCAATCTTAGAAGCTCATACTGTTTTAAAGTGTGATGGTGTTTGTAATGTAGTAGGAGACTTAGCATTTTGGTGGATTTCTGAGAAACAGACCTTGTTAAGAACATTCTTACAGTTGCATGATGTCTTTCGTACTAAGACATGGTAGAATATAGTTCAACAGATACTGTTAAAGATTTTTTTGAAAAGAGAGAAATATTCAATTACTAACTTTAATGAATGTAAAATTGAGGCATGAGACATTTGCAATTTAAAATAAAAACATAGTCTTTTTTTTCAAACAGAATTCAGTAAACATGCATAAACATATATACACATATTTGTCAATAATCAGAAAAACATTGTGCATCACATTAACCTAAGAGATTTCTAATGGCATGTCTTATCACTTAGAACTGAGTTGACAGACTGAAGAGAACTAGCAAAAGTGATTTCAACAGATGAGTATAAAGAAAATAAAAATTCAGTTTTGATAGAAATAATAAAATAATTTAATTGCACTTCTTAAAATAGACATTTTAAGCCTACATAAAATATTGAGTAGAAGTACAAATTTCTCTTAAAGGTGTACAAAATAGAACTCAATTACATTTATAGTCAAATTAGTTACAAAGATAAACATGAACTAATTTATAGCAGAGTCAGAAGCCAATAGTTTTTCAGTAACCACCAAAATAAAAAACAAGATATAAAATATTTAAGATTGGCCAATAGATGGAGGATAGAGAGCAAGTAAAAGATGGCATTTGGGGCTCATATTTGAAGAATTTTCCAGAACTTTTGGAAAGCACCGTATGGACTCTCTGTAGTCGGCATAAGTAGTTACTGGCTTAGGGCAACAGAATTTTGTCCTCCAGTCCTGCAAGTCAGAAATTCTCCATGGAAGCGTATCATTGGGCTGAAGTCAGATGTGGGCAAAGTTTGCTGCTTTCTGGAGACTTTGGGGGAAAATTTATTTCCTCACAGCTTCCAGCTTTCGGGAGCTACCTATATTCTTTGGCTCATGACCCCCTTTGTACACCCTCACAATCAGCTTGAGCGAGCGGGATCCTTCCCAACAGAGCACTCTGAACAGCTCTCCCATACGCTTCCCACACTGTGTGAACACAGTTGGTTATCTCAGGCCTAGGTGGCCAATCCAGCACAGTCATTTCACTTGAGGGTTAACCGACGAGTGACCAAAATTAATCTACACTGTTAACATGGATGTTCTCTGGGAATTAAGACGTTAGCACCTTTGGTGAGCTATTTTCCTTCCTATCACAGATATAGGCATCAGACAGGTTTAAGAGGCTCTACAAACTACAAACAGAATAATACACGGGGGCGGGAGCAGGGGGAGGGAGAAAGAGCACGGAACATCATAAAATGCAGACTACCAATAGAAAGGGCGATATGTTAACAGCCAGATAAGAAGACAGATCACCTTAAAGGAAACAAACAGACAACCGCATAATTAGTAACGTCACTAACAACAAACAAACAAAAACAAAAAACAGGCCTGAGAACAGAGTTCTTCAGCCTGTAGGCCACGACCCCTTGGGCTCGAGTGACCCTTTCACAAGGGTCACATTTCAGATATCCTGTATGTCAGATATTTACAATTCATAACAGTAGCAAAATTACAGTTATGAAGTATCAACGAAAGTAATTTTATGGTTTTATGCCTGAGGGTCATCACAACGAGAGGGTCGCAGGGCTAAAAGGTTGAGAACCAGTGCTTTAGAATGATGCCTTTAACATGCAGAGTAAATATTGTTAATCTGTAGCTGAGACCCGTCAACAACTGTAAGCCAAGGA